AGTCGCTCTTAAAGAGGTTCCGTTTAGCGAGGTAGCTGAACCGCCGACTCCCGCTCCAGGCACGCCGCGAGGCGTGTACATCACTGTGGATCGGATAATCCGGTTCCGTGAAACACCAGGTTGTCGAGGTTGTACCGGTCGCACCCGGTACCATACCCCCGAATGTCGACGTCGCTTTGCGAGGCTGGTCGATACGGAGAAAGCCGAGGAGCGCTCCAAGCGCTCGGCTGCCGTCGAGGCAGAGCGGTCACTTCGCCCCTCCGAAGCGATTGACCCAGTTCATGCAGCCAAGGAGGCACGTCTCGAAGAAGACGATGCTGACCTTAAAAAGGCACTTGAGCTTTCCCGCCTTGAAAAGGCAGATCTATCTGATCCCGATGAGCTCGAGAAAGCACTGAGGGCATCCGAAGAACATGATGATGCTCTTCGCGGCAAGCCAGCTCCGTCTCGGCCAGGGGGGATTCCGCCAACCGCGCCGCCTGCAGCCACAACTGGCGCGGCGGTAACAACAACCACTGCAACCTCCACGTCACTCACGTGCCACGTAGCCGACTCCTTCACCAAGAGGGAGGCTCGGACTCTGCCTGTGTTCGGCATGCCATGTTCCAAAAGGGAGCCATGCAAAAAGTTTTCCGTAGGGAATAAGAGGGCCCGCAAGCGTATCGCGCGGGGAAATTCTATGCCTGTAATGTTCGAGTATGCATGTTCAAGTGACTCCACCATGGGAGCAGTGCATCAAGCATTAGGCATTCCCCACGTGAGACTGGCTAAAGAACACATCGATCTTGAAACCAATGAAGGGGATGAGCAACTGACCGCTCAGTTGCAGTCTTGTAGCAAGCCTAACATGTGGGCGGCCATTCCGTGCACCTCCGGGTCGCCATGGCAAAGGCTAAATGTCCATAGGTATGGCAATAAATACAAGCAGTATCTCCGTGCACAGGTTAAAAGGTCGGAGGCGTTGTTCGCAAGGTTCACAAAGCACGCCGAAGTGGTGATAGAACAAGAGGGTCACGTCACTTTCGAGTGGCCTCGCGACTGCGAGGGATGGGAGCGCCCCGACGTAAAGGCATTCTTCGAGAAGCATGCGTCTCGCTTCCACTCAGTGACTTTCCACGGGTGTGCAGTAGGTCTAACTGACAAGGAAGGGACTCCCATCAAGAAGCCGTGGCGTCTCATGACCACATCCAAGGAACTTCATGATGGGTTCCAGAATAGGACATGCCCCCACCAGCACTCCTTCAAGCACGCACAGGCCGCAGGTAGCAACACTGCACGCACCGCCTTTTATCCACAAGAGATGTGTAAGATAATCGCTAGTGCGTTATACCCGCATGTCGCAGCACCATGCGCGCCTGCAATGCCAGTCCAGGCTGTCACCGTGCAAGAGGAGCGTCGGGAAAAGGAGCAGTCCTTGAAGCATACCTCCGCACTTTCGGGTGTTGGGGCTCTCGCGTCAGTGGTTGAATCAGATCCAACATCCCGCAGATTCTTTGAAGAACTCTTTGACTTGGATAACCTCGTTAGGGAAATTCAGGGAATTACAAAGCAGGAGACTTCTCCCGACATAGCCGCCATGGTCACAAAACTTCTTTCACGTTCAGAGATGCTTGCCTCGTCCGAGGCATTGCAGGCCGTAAAGGAAGAAGCAGACGGCTTAAGTAATGCGGGAGTCTGGGATCTCAGCACCGTGAGAGAGCAAGGAGAGGTCGCTGCTGAAGCGCGACGGACGCACACTAAAGTCCACTTCGGGCAACTAATGACCATCGCCTCCATCAAATTCTTTGAGCTAGCAAAGCATCTACAGAAAATGAAGGGGCGTATAGTATACCGAGGGGACTGTGCGCGGGACGAATATGGGGCGGCGGCCGTTTATCAAGAACTCGGCGCCAACCCTACGTCCGTTCAGGGTTTGAACAATTGCCTTGCCTACGGCTCACTGCCAGGTCACAAAACCACGGCGGCAGACGCCGTAAAGGCATATATCCAGGCCCTACTTCGATCTCAACATCAGACGTGGATATCGTTGCCGCCGGAACTTCGTCCGAAGTGGTGGAAAGAAAAGTTTATAAAACCGGTAGTCCTTCTAGTAAAAGCACTCTACGGTCACCCCGACGCGGGGGGGCTATGGGAGCAGCACTTCAAGAAGATCTTGAAGGAGCAGACCGGAGAGGAGATCCAAGAATTTCCAGGAAACTTTTACTTCCCCTCAACCGGCTTAATGCTATCCACTTATGTGGATGATCTAACACTTTCAGGGCCGGCAGAGCAGCATGATCCCTTTTGGGAAAAGCTGATGTCATGTGTTGATATTGAACCCCCAGAACCGATATATCGTGTTTTGGGAAGGAATCATGTCATCATTAACGCCCCGAAGTGCGAGCCTAATCCAGCCGAGAGCGCAGCCTTTGGCGCGCTGTCCAACGCAATGGCTTTTGATATGGTTGACTATGCCAAACAAACTGTAGATTTGTATGTCTCCATTTCAGGTCAGCCGATTAGTAAACTCCGCAAGGCATTGACCCCATTCTGTCCAGAAGGGTCATTGCCAACACAAGATGATGCCGAAGCAGGTGAATTGAGCTCAGCCGCTTGTAAAATCTTGATGAAGGCCTTGTGGTTGGGACGTCTTGCACGTCCAGACATAATCAAGCCCATCGGGGATCTTGCAACGTGCGTTCAAAAATGGTCGCGTAATAATGATAGGCAGTTGGCTAGGCTAATAGCTTATATTAACACGACCACAACGCACAGGTTGGTTGGCACAGTTCAAGACGATCCCAGAGAGCTGCATCTTGCGCTCTACGTCGACGCTGACTTTGCAGGAGAAGAGGGGGCCAAGTCCACGTCAGGGGGGTTTCTCGCCCTGAAAGGCCCGAATTCCCACTTCCCCTTAGCATGGATTAGCAAGCGCCAGACTTCTGTGTCGCGTTCCACTACAGAAGCAGAGATTGTGTCGTTAGCATTTTCTTTGTATCAGGAGGGACTCCCGACACTTAGTCTGTGGGATCGACTATTGGGTCGCCCAATGACCCTAAGGATCCATGAAGACAATCAAGCTACTATTCTGGTTGCAAGGAAAGGGCACTCCTCGAAGTTGCGTGCAATTTCTAGGACACATAGGGTTAACCTAGCATCCCTTGCAGAACAGTTACAGGAAGGCACTGGAGTAGAGCTTGAATATGTGAAGACCGATTTCCAAGCTGCCGATATCTTTACCAAAACTTTGCCCCCGCATAAGTGGGATCACGCCTTGAGGCTCCTGGGAATACGCACAGATCTCCCAGAAGAGCTAGAAGATACTCGATTCAACATCAAAAAGTAGAAAGTCATCCCGAAGGTAGTGCTGTGAGTACTAAGAGTGCCAAAATATCCTTCATCCTTGTAAAGCCTTGATGTCCGGGAGCAGCGTATCGCGCTCCAAAACAAAAGCTTACCCTGCCTTAGTGCACACGGCGAGGGGGGAGTCAAGAAATAACGACCCCTTAGCCCCCAAAGGCATGGTAACTTGCCTAGTTGTGTGGTCACTGATGTGAGGTTTGCTTGAGGCCACTTTGGTTTAGGTTGAGGGTTGCATGTCATGACAGACTTGTCGAACGGCAAACGCCGTTTGGCTCAAGCGCACATCAAGAAAACAGCGCTGAGTGCGGAACGAGAGTCTAGGAATCACCCCCTGAACCGCTGAGGGATTAACCACGGTCAATCCACCTCTTTTTGTTCAGGGCGCAGCCTTCGGCGCGCGTTTGGGGTTTCTTGCTCTTTTGATTTTGGATGGGGCGACATCCGTTCGCACCCTTTGAAACCATTGGACACCTATGTTTGTTGGTATTTCTGGAAGAATCATCACTATTCTTTGCAGGCTTTATTAGGCGGTGCAGGATTTCGTCCATCCACAGTATAGTGGGGTTTAAGGCCTAAGCTACGTCGGGTATTTTTCAGCGGGGGCGATCGATTCGGCGCGTTAGGCAACTGGATAGGAACCCCCGGAAACCCAAAGCTGTTGTTTGGCTGCTATTTGCTGAACTTTTGGGAGGTATGTGGTTTCCCAACAGCCAAGAAAGCAAGTCAAGCTTTTTGCATAGGGGTCGATAGCCGCAATGATTGGTGTAATTCCCCGCAGTCTACCAAGCCTTCCCCCTTCAGCCGGTCGGACGGGGTCCAATCGGAAGGCAAAGGTCTCTGAACCAATTGATAGGGGCAAATAGGAAATGGAAGCCACAAGGATGGGACAGTTTTTGCAATTGTCCCCTCCAGAATGGCGGGGCAGTGGCGGGAGGTTGACGATGTTCTTCGCTTTCGCCCGTGCACGGCGAAGCGAACTCGTTCGCTTGTGATACGGGGCTTCCTTACTTAGGGGCATGCTAGGTCGTCGGTAGCCATGATTATAAACAACCTGCCATAGGTGTCCTTTTTGGTTGTTGTTTTGCTAGAAAAATAGATGGCCCTGGTTTACCTGGTGGTTTAATCATCTACCAGGGCCATGTATTTCCCGTAAAAGGACACCTGTGCAACCTGCATTTGTAAAGGCCTTCAAGAGTACAAGGTTCCTTGTGAAGACTTGCTGTCTCTTGATGCGCCGTGGAGTCTTAGAGGTCGCCGCATTTTGTCCATGAATGTTAGAAAGGTGCCTTTGCCCTATGTGCTGGTTGGTTTTGGCGGGTGAGACGGCTCTGCCAGGAGGCGCCTAGTTTTGAGGTACGCACCCATGAACCCCTGCTGTGGATGGACAAAATCCTGTGTCCGTCCACTTTGAAACCATGGTTGAAACCATTGCTTGTTGGCGTTCGCAGACGAATCATCATTCCACAGGTTTCTCAGGTGGTGCAGGACTTCGCCCACCCACCGGTACTCATTTATTTTTTACTTGTCATGAGGATTAAACATTTTTCGACCCCTGTCTTTCCTTGATTAAGAGGGTCTCCTACCGATAAAAGCATTCCCCACAACTTTTACCGGAGTATGCATGGAGCGCTTTGCATGCCCGACCGACATTTCGGGAGGACACCGACCAGTTGATTAGCCCAGGCCTGGATAGGACGGGGTGGCGGGTCGACGGGTGTACGAATGCGGTCCCCTACCCCTTGTGAATGCAAGGGGGGCCCACGTGAGCCACAATCAAAACTCGGGTAGATGAAGGTAAGGGACAATCCCAGCCACAAATAGCTGCGGCCGCCTTCTTATTTCTTTACATGGTTCTGGGTAGACAATTTTAATACCGGGTTTTGATCATGACTCACATCCTTTGAGGACCTCCACGCGAGGTCGAGACAAAACGTGGACCTGGCGTCTCTCACAATCGGGGGGAGGCGTCATTCGCACGCTGCGCAGTTTGGTTTGCCTTGAGGGCCTCTGGCTGGGTCCCAGCAGGTCCAATTCCGAGTGGACCCATGTGAGGGACAAGCCATGGCCTCGTGATGTGCGTCCAGTACTCGGGGATCCCGTGAACCACGTAAGACATGCAGAAGTCACCCCACCTGGAGGCCCCGCATTCCCATTCATAACCGCTGTTTGTGGGTATGTAGCTCCATTTTGGGGCTTACAAGTAGGACCTTGGAATGTTTGTTTCATCTTTTCGCTGGCAGGATGTTCGCCTCAACTCGCCGCGAGATCCACTCACACTACCCCTGGGTGATGCTGCCGGTGCACTGGTCACTCGGCTCGGGGGCAGACTGCTTAAAGAAAGAAGGGTATGGCTCGGCCAAAACGGTCCGCTCGCGCAATGGATGAAGTTTTGGGGATTCCTTTCCGGCTTCTTTCTGTGGGTAGCAGTACCATGGCTGCAAGTTAAAAAAACGCCCTGCCACTGCGCCCCATGGAAGGCAGCGCTGGGACCAGAAAACGGTTTGGAGGTGGCGAATCTGTGGACCCACCCCTGTAGAAGATTAGAAGAGTATAAGAGAATACTTTTGAATGGACCAACAGAAGGGAGACCACACATCCAACGGTTCTTTTAGATTTAGGCAGCGAATGGGGCAGGTGAGCATAGAGGTTTCGCACGCCGAGTTTTGAGACCGCGTGCCTTAAAGAGGTCGGGTTTCCCGAGATGCTGACAGGGGTCTGAACAGTTCCAGGGGTTGATTCTCCATTTGTTTCAGCCATTCTTTTCAAAAACCGGCCATGTCCCCAGGGTTTTTGGTGGTTGTCTAGAAAGAAGGATCCTTGGAAAGAATGGGGAAGTTACTCCTAGAACAGTTGAAGTATGCAACTGGGGGGTTGTCAAGAAGGACAGGGCGTTGGCCTTGTTGCAGCTTGGGGCTTGGTGCCCCAAAAAGGGGCGTACGCGGCATAGCCTTATACTTATAGCGTACCTGTACCTCACCCACGTGAAGGTTGGCATCGCGACTTTCAAGGGACTAGTGTTGGCTTGGGCACGCCCAAACCCAACGCACTGGGCTTCGAGTGAAGCTTTCTGGCTTGCGCTCTGGCAGTCGGCATAGAGGAAAAAGCACCAGACGCATGGCTCGATCTAGCGACAAAAAATCCTCCCAAGCAACAAGTCAAGCGCGCAGAGTCACAGACTTATCCAAAAATGAGGAATTTCAGCCTGTTGTTTTTTTTCTTCTTCCCGTCGATGCAAGAACAGACAAGTATGGGGGTGCCAAAGACGGAATCCATGGGTGAATCAACCAGGATAGAGACAGGTTAACATTACCATGAGGGACTGAGACTCGCCAACTTCCCGGGTCAAAGAAAGGTGCACTTGGGACAAACTAGATGGCACATTTCCCCCAATTTTCCTCTATCCATCCCCTAACCGACATCCGTGAATCCAGTCTTCGCCTCCCCCCCACACCAACCTCCCTGTGGGGCCTGCACCACAGGGGTCCTAGAAAACAACTTAAGGCGACCTTCTTCAAACCCTGACCTGGCATGCGCAAGTCAGCCAAGGATGTCGAGGGACGCAGCTTGGCAAGCTTGGGTCGCATTGCCCGGCAGGGTAACCCAATGAATGGAAACCCTGGATTACTAAACCTTTGGTTGATTGATTGGGGGCCCCTTTCAGTGGGGTAAATCACGTTTGGAGGGGTCCGGTGGTCCCTTCTAGCATCTGCGGTCGACACTACCATTGCAAGTCCGTTGAGAATGAATTTCGACGGGCCAGACGCCCAATTCTCACGCTTGGTCCATGGGTGCCCGGTCAACTAAAAAAGTTTGGTCAAGTTCTTCGATCCCGTGTTGACCGGAGGGCATCTGAACAGGGGATCAGCAATTGCAGCGGTCCAATTCCCTTGTTCAAATCTTCAAGATCAAGTCCGTTTCGCCTTGTCAACCATGATTTCCCCATCGGTCACAACTCGAAGGGAGCAGAGTAGCAAGGTGGGCAGTACTCATTGTTAGTCCCCTACAACCAACCACAGTTAAGCCTTTCAGGCTGGGTTCCAAAATATTGAGGCCCTTCTTATCCGTGGAAAAGAGCTGCATCATGCGCATTCCAATGAGGGTGGGATAGAAATGGGAGCTTCTCAAATAGTCGTCTCCTAAAATGGTTGGTTTCTTGTTGGTTTACCCTTTAAAAAACAGTCAATTCAAAGGGGGCTTTTCCACTATTTTGAATGTCCAGTAGCATGCCAAGTGTCAACTTGGCGACGAAATGGGCAAGACTCCGAGTGCTCCGTGAAGTCAAGGAGAACGTACTAACTCTCCTATTCTCATAGAGAGCGCAGCCTGGCGCATTCGAATGCATTTCTTTGTGAACTCGGGCCTTGTTTTTGAGTGTTCCAGAATGTCTCACAGATGTTGCACGTTTGGTTGCATGTTTGCGGCCCGTTTGGTTGCATGTCAACATGTTTGGGAATTCCTCAAGGGGTTGCTCTTCTGTTCCATGCCTATCTGACAGCACGGAGCCATAGGATCACGATAGGGCAGCAACTAGTGGTTTGGATTGTGTGACCCTCGGTGTGGGTCGTTCTTTGAAGGGTTCGGTCCGTTTTGGACTGGGTCGGGGAAGCCAAAGGGAACCCGAAGCCCATTTTGGAGGTTCCCGTTTGAGACACGCCCTGGTTCGGCCGGGGAAATGGACGTGGATGCTTCTTCGCAGGCCAAGAAGGGGGAACTCTACTCCGCCCGAAGGCTCAGCGAGCGAGTGATCCATTTTTTGCAGGGGTGCTCGTAGGCCTGTTTTTGCGGTTTCAAAAGGAACCACAAAGGACCATCATTGGGGGGGTCCCCCAAACAGACACCCAAATGGGATTCGGTCCCCTTCTCTCAGTTGTCCAAAGGGAACCGACCGGTTTTCCCATTTTGGGTTCCCATTTATAAATTACCCAAGAGATGATCAGCTTTCACTTCTGGATCCCATCAAGGGGCAACTGAGTTTTTGGTAGGCAAGGGGAACCACAAGGAATGAAATCCCCAATGTCCAGCGTGAGCTCCCGATTCTTGTTCTTAAGGGAGGCCACCGGAGCTTATTGTTAACGGCATTTGGCATTTGGGCTTCTCTTGGGGAAACGCTCCAAATAAAAGAGGCACACCCATGTTTGTTGGGGCGTTTCTTTGCCCAGACCCGAACTGGGTACCACTCTCGATTCTGACCAAAAGTGCTCAATTTTGGGCTTCCCTTGGGGAAACGCTCCAAACAAATTCCTTGCCCAAAAGCAGGTGGTATTCTTTTCGGCTTTTCTTTCTCCACCCAAAAACGACCAACCACAAGGTGGCGCCTTTGACACTTTTTCGGTGTCCGAGGATATGAACTTTGAGGGTTGGAGCGGCACGCGGACCATGAGGCGCGGAAAATGCACGGATGCGGCTGGCGGAAGGAGGTCTGCCAGAGCCCCTGACCTTGGCTTCCATTGGCTGAAGCCAAGATTTGTCGTTTCCCTTGGTTTTTGAAGGGAATCCATGTCACCCAACAATTTTTTCAAGGGGCTTGAAGCAAGCAAATGGAAGTTTCCAACTGCCCGAAAAGAGGCAGGGCTTCCCCCCTCTTGGTTCCTGGGCTTCGCCTCCCCCCTCTTGGTTCCTGGGCTTCAAACTTGGGAGTGGCAACCAAAAGCGCTGGGCGTTTTTGGGGGGCCGCTGGCCCCAGGAAGTGAGTGGCCTGTTCGAACCGATGTGCCGGCATGTGAGCGTCGCATTGAAACAGAGGGGCCTTGAGTCAAGTGTGTAAAGAAAGTTTAGGCGGGAGATGGCGCCAACATTGTGGGGTGGTGTGAAAACTTTGAATCGTAGCTTCATATGCTCAAGATCCTGAAAGGGGAAATGAGTTGAAATGAGCCATGGGCCACAAAGAAATGCCGCTGATATACCTTTATACCCGACGGATGGCATATACTCTCCCAGTTTTAGGGCACGTAGAGTTGGGTGAATGTCCACGTAGCATTTGTCTCGAGTTCTCTCCTTCAGTTCTGTTGCCCAAGGTTGCTCGCCCAAGACCTCGGCATGATGTTTGGACAATTCCAGGGACTTGGGACTTGTGCTGGAGAGAAGCGGGTGAATTTGAGGATGTCCACATGTCGGCGCCACTTTTGAAGATTTCCCGCTATGCCAGCCCTTTTCAATCCCCGCACTTTCCCTAGCTTTTGGTTGCGAAATCGCCGCCACAGTTCATAGCTCTTCAATCGAAACGAAGAGGGGGTGTGTCTGAGATGGTATTCACTACCCCCCAAACCACTACCCCGAGGGTTATACTACAGCCGCTATATGGCCACTGTTATACAGGGTCTATACAACCATACATATATATATATACACATATACTGGGACATATCTATATATACATATCCCAATTAGTGGTTTGGGGGTACTGGACACCATCCTAGGAGGCGGGTTTGCTTGTTCTGGCCACGCTTGCCTGGCTGCCTGGCAGGTGGGGCCACGCGCACCCGCCGGGGGCTTACTGTGGCCCCCCTCCCCTTGGTCCAGACCCCCTTCACACGAAAAAAAACACGGAACGCGAAGGAGGGGTCCCCAAAAAGCCAACAAAATGATTCCTCTATAGTCATGGTGCACGAGCGGGTTCCTTCTGAAGTTGCAAGCTGGCAAGGGAGCCAGCCACGAACCGGAATTGAGAGGTCGCTTCATAGAGAGCCAGGGTTTCCTCACATGTTGAGGGAGGACCCCCTGTTTGGAAGACAGAGGTGTTGAACGCAGGAAAACGGCTGTTTGTTTGTTCGGAAGCTTGAATGCTGTTGGGTCGCATTCTTAGCCTCAACCTGCAACAAGTTATAGACTCTTTGGACAGGCAAGAGCCATTGAAGGGCTGCAAAGAGGAACCATTGCCAACGAACAAGTTGCTCACGCGGCCGACGGTCCACAGAATACTGATCAGTGCTTGATCCACTTGCTCTTCGATTGAAGTTCATCCATGCCTCGTCCGGCGTAATGTGAGTGCCTCACCCATCACTAGCACTTTGTCCGACTTGGCCCCACATGTCCTACAATGATGATGACTCAATGGAGTAAAACCATGGTGATCGCCGACTTAGCTGACTTACAACGATGCCTTTGGTAGGACATTGCCAGGTGACTCGCCAGTCACTTGACGTGCCGTGCCCCTTTCTCCCTGTTGCCTATTGAGTTGGCAAAGTTTACACCTCTTCTTTGGGATGGTCTCTTGAACGTAGTTTTAATTCTATTCATTGTATTTCGCAGATATAACATAGATGCATTGCCGTTTTATTCTTCAGCCTTTTAACAACTTTGGCTACTTCCAGCATAGTGTTTCGACTTGGTTGGGCCATCTCGGCGGGTCAGAAATTCTGACTTGCATGCCATCCGCAAGCAAGTGCCTGAGTTCGTGGACCTATTGGGCGTTGCCCTTCCTGCTGGACCTGCTCTATGAGAGGCCGGAAGGGAAAAGGAAAAGGGCTTGGGATCGGCTGAGAAGTTGCCAGCTGGAAGATCAGCTTCCTCAAGGGACCTGCAGATTCCAGGTTTGCTTCCAGGTTTTCTAGGGGACCCGGGATAGTTGAGTATATGGGGCTGCCAGGTAGGTAGATCGTGAAATGTTCGATTTTCGGCCCCAGTCCATTTTGGGGATGGATCATTTGTTCATTGTTTTTCTCCATCAATCACCTCCCTCCACCCATTTTTGTTTGTTTTCCGCACCCCCTAAGCCCACACGGTGTTAAACCCGCACCTCCCCTAAGCATCCCTTCGAACCCCTGAGCCGAGCGCGCGAGCGGCGGCTTACGCGCAGGTTCATGGCTTCCTCGAGGCCCGGGAAGATCCAGGCCGACGCTCGCGGGAGGTTTTGGAGACGCCATGAGCGGTGACCAGCCCCCCCCCCCCCCGCCAGGGGCCCTTTCTCACTTGTTTGGGGGAGGTCCCCCGGACTAAAATAGACTACGCTTGACTGCAATTCTGTTGGATCTTTTTCGACTTTAGCTTTTTGGGAAATCAAGGGGTTTTTCGCTACCCCCCCCCCCCCAAAAAAAAGAAAGTTAAACTTTTTGCAGGGGGGTCAACAGCAACCAAGTACAGGAAAAAGTTGTCACCAACTTATTCTAACCTCGCTACTGGATGACCTAGAAAGCGTCGGAGCTAAAAATCCGAAGGCCGGAGAATTGGAGGGTCGTAGCTTGGCGGTTCGAAGTTCGAAGTTCGCAGCCATCCGGTTTCTCAGCTTTTTGGATATTTTTGGTGTTCAGTGGTTGAACTTAATTTCCATTTGTGACCCACCAAGAGTTAAACTTTTGGTAGTGGATTTGAGGACAGGTAAGGGGTTCCCAAGATAGCATCGCATAAGTCGCGGCGAAACAGTTACTTGGATGGTGGATTCGCCCAGTTCGTGTCTGTGGGGATCACCACTTGGGTGTTTTTCACCCCCCCAAAGGGGTTGCCAACCCTTTTAAGGGGACTTGTAAGTGGGTTGCCAACAACTTACTGTCTTGGCCGATTTCAACATGTGAGTCACAATCAACACCCGGAGAATTGGAGGGTAAGGGACGATCCCAGCCGTAAATGGGCGCGGCGCGCCTTTCAATTCTTCACATGGCTGTAACCTCACCATTTTTGTACCAAGTCTTCATGGGTTTCTGGGTTTCCTGCGCGTGAACCCTGGTTTCCCTGTGAGGTAAGTGTTCCTGCTGCGATTGGCCAAAGGGCCTGCGGAGCAGGCCTCAGAACCCAAAGCTCCGAGGCAACGCGTCTCAGCGTCCAGCGTCTCGCAGGTCTGGGACCTGCAGAGGGCCAAGGACCTGGGGATGACGCAAGTGCTCACGGGCATGAAGGTGAGCCGCCAGGCGCTTTGGGCGGAAAGCGGCGGGTAGCGACTCGGCCCCTGGAAAAGCCCAACAGCTGCTAGCTAGGGCCCCCAGCAAGGTGCCAGCTTTTACCGTTTTTTTTGGTTGGGAGGGTTCCCCGACTAAAAGAGACTATAGGAAAAAAGTGGGTGCCAACTTATGCTAACCTCTCTACTGGAGGACCTAGGCTGTATGTGAGTGCATTTGTTTTATGTTGAGATACATCTTTCTAGATGCGGGTGTATGTTTATATGTAGATGATATTGTAGCATGTTTCGTCAATTTTCTTGTTGGTCTGAAGTCGTCCTCAAACCAATCATCATCTGAGAGCTGCTTCATGGGATTCACCCGGCCGTGTGGCTGGTGAAGGGGAGCAAGGTGTGCCTTTGCGAGGGATTAGCATCAAAAAAACACTTATTAGGCATCAAAAAAATATTAGGCATCAAAAAATACTTATTAGGCATCAAACAAATATATGCTTTAGATGGATTTAAGACCCACTGAGGCAGGAACACTTTGAAAACCCGACAAAACATTCTTAAATTGTTTAAACAAAGAATATTGTTGCAAACAATGTTTGCGAAATTGTTTGAAACAACCTTGGCTTGTTTAAACTTTTTTTCAAAATTGTTTGGCTGTGTTTCTGTTGATTTGCAAACACGTTTGACACTTATTATGCATTTGGCCTAGTTGCCTAGTTGCGTCTGGGAAAGAGCGTTGGAGCCTTCTTGTGTGCCTCTACGAAGGCTTTTTAAAGTAGCGTTTCGGCATGGTTGTGTGTGATATTTAGCTCGAGATGGTCAGACTTGCTGGGAGGTCGCAGCTGCATTCTGGGCAAAGTAGAAGTTCCGCCCGCCCGATTCTTTCTGGGCCCAAGCTAGAAACCCCGAACTTAAGCAGACGCGCCATGACGTACATGTACTGCTGGTATTGTTTGCTGGAGCTGTTCGCTGAGTTTTTGACAGAGGAGGAAGCCGCAGTGGCGAGGAGGGCTGCCAAGGACTGCGAGTGCGACTGGCTGGGCACGCCTTCGCCTGAGGGGGCAGCTCCGCGGGTCCGATGCCAGGAGGGCACCCCGCCACAGTTGGAGCCCCCATACCGCAGGAGAAGGCTGCGGCTTAGCGATGGGCGATGAGGATGAAGCTTTGGCAGCCCTTGCTTTCAGGTATGCTGGCCACCGGCTGGGTTTGGCCGCGCCCGCGCGCCAGAGAAGCAGGGCAAGCTTACTCCGTGCGCTGAGTGCTAAGCAGCGGCACAGAAACCTGCGCGCCAGGGCATTTCAGAGGCAAGCGGCCCACTCCAATGCAACTGGGCGCCACAGAACTGCCGATTTCCAAATTCCAGGCAGCGGCGAGCACCGGCCGGCTAGAGGCATGGGAAATGGGCGGTGGAAGCGCTGGTCTCCTGGCGCTGTGCTCCGGGCAGCTTTTGCCAAGGAAAACGCAACCAACAGAGACGTGGCTTCGCAAGTGGATGGAGCTAGCGCCAAGCACGCTTCAGATTGCCGGCTTTTCATTGCCCAGCTCATTATGAAAGAGCAAGAAGAAGGTTTGTCAGCTCTGTGACGCAGAAGGGGCTCCCCTCCCCGTCGCTTTGACAAACATGCTCTTTGACGAAACAGAGATGGAGCTGAACCTGCCCTCCTATGGGCATGGGTCCTGACAAAGACGTCATTCGGCCCCCTCGGGCGATTCCCAACAAGAAGGCGTCCACTATGTGGGGCGCGTTATCCGCTGACCCTGGTGGCCTTTGGCCTGGTTTGTCCACGGTGCCTGCCAAGTTCAGGGCAGTGCTGACGACATGCGACGCTGCCCCGGCCAACGTCAGTCTGTGTTGGACAGTACCACATTGCTGCTCCCGTTTCTTTGCTTGCAACACCGCACAGAGTGACAAAGCTCCTCGGTGTTTTGACCGGGTCCTATGCTGTTTCTAAAACTTTGCGGTCGGGGCCAGTTGTCCGGCGCGTCACGCAGAAGGTGAGGGAGGTTCTGTCAGAAAAGCTTCAGGTCATGGAGGACACACCGGCCGCCTTGGCTGAGGAATGGGCCTCTGGCCAGGTTTGCGCTAAGCGCATCTTCGAGCTGGTCCAGCAGGAGTCTGCTGATGACGAAGAAGAAGCTGCGGGGCGCTCTCCGGGCCTTTACGACGAGTTCACGAGCTTCTTCGCCGGGCCGTGGACAGGACCGTGGGTTAGGGGACCCTGCCAAATTGTGTTGGCACCTTGGTTTGTTGTTTGTCGTGTTTAGGGCTGGGCCTTTCGCTTGTGTTTCGCTTGTCTGTGTTCGCCGGTTTAGGGCAAGGGGCGGGAAAGTGCTGTGAAAAAGGCGGCTTCAGAACTTTGCCTGCTTATGTCAAGCGAGGCGCCGCGAGTTGTAAGCATCCCTGCCCAACGGACAGTGTCCACGCCCCCGTAGGTGTCCGCCACCAGGACGCCGCACAAAAACGTGGTCGCCTGGCTGAACTTGTCGGAGCAGTTGCGGATCTCAGAACCAGGCCGCGGGTAACCTGGCTCCGGGTGTCTGCCGGCGGGAACAAGACCTCGAGGCCACCTGCGCGAACCGTGGTCTGCAAGTAGGAGGCAGCCATAGCGGCTGCGCAAAGCGAGTGTGCAAAAGCTTGAGCTGAAGCCGGAGCAAAAAGCTGCGGAAACGCCTGTGGCTGGGCGGTGAGCAGGCCAGCCAAGACCCCCAGCTCTTGCAGGACAATGGCATTACTACGGTTTTGCCTGCGGCCCGCAAGTCGGGGCCGCCTGAGACGCTCAGCCTGAGCGTCTACAAGCACACAGACGGCACCGCCTTAGCAAACGGCGACGCCAGCTTGGAGTTCTTGCTGGTCTCCGACCAGGTTTTGGAGCGTCTGGCTAGCGGGGAAGGCGTTTTGGTTTGCTGCAAAGATGGGGCGCGCAAGTCAGCAACCTTGGCTACCATTCTGGTCATGCGCTACACCGGGTGGGACGCCAAGCAGGCAGAGAACTATGTTTCGACCCTCCGAAACATCGTCTGCCTGAGCAGCGTGCCAGCGCCCAGCTCTGAGAGGCGCAGCCCGAAGCGGCCAGTCGACTTCTTGGCGGAGAACCAGGGCAAGATCTTGCAGGGCGCACGGGGGCTTCCAGCTTGCGTTGTGCTGACGCCTGTGAGCTTCAGGAAGAAGGCACTGGAGCTGGACTTCGAGACGCTCGGCATTAAGCCCAAGATGAAGCGCTCGAAGCACAGGCCTCTGGCCAAGTTGTCTGGCACTTCATCATTCGAGCTGGTGGATGCGACTTCCGGGGATGGCGGCTTCTCCACCGTGTCAAGCCAGAGCGTGAACAGCAGCAGCATGGAGTCGGAGGAATCCAAGGCTAGCGCCCTCAAGCGCATGCGCCCCAGCGAGCCCAAGACGCCGCCTCTGGAGTTCAACGTCGTGGACGACGAGTACGGCACCAGGGAGGCCAGGGCTGTGGTCCTTGCAATTTTTCAGGCAGGCTTGGCTAGCCTGCCTTGGAGGGCGCCCAGGGCCACGCCACAAGAAGAAGAAGAAGACGGCCTTGCTGTGGCCATGGCTGCACTGGCCAAGTTGGAAGGGCGCGACTTTGCCAGCGAGGATGATGCTTCTGATTGAGCAGGGTCCTCCGGCCAAGGTTTTGCGCGCCAGGGCAACAGGCTCGTCCTGGCGTAGTGCTGCCGGATTCGATGGCCCCCGCAATCCCCCGCACGAGGAAAAGAGTCTGCCGCAGCTTGCTTCAGGGCGCCATGTCAAACAGGTTGCTTGAAATGCGCCGTGATTCAGTTAGCTCAGAAGTATGTTGAACTGTTTGAGGGAAAGGTTTTGTAGTGTTATTTCTTGCACCTTTACCTTTTCTGGAACCTATTTAATATGTGTTTCGCCCTTACTCGCAGGTTGTATTCAATATTACAAAGAAGAAAAAGCCCAAGAAACAATGATGGTGATGACGTTGTGGCTTGCTACAAAAAACCATTCAGAATATGACAAACAATTTTTGGAAATACCTTCAACATTAAAACATTTATTAAAACACTTTTGAAAATTTTTTGAGTCTGCCGGGCCCCTCCAGACATCAGAGGTTTTAAATCCGTTCAACATATGCTCTCCTATGGGGGGAAGGAAGGAAGGAAGGAAGGAAGGAAGGAAGGAAGGAAGGAAGGAAGGAAGGAAGGAAGGAAGGAAGGAAGGAAGGAAGGAAGGAAGGAAGGAAGGAAAGGAAGGAAGGAAGGAAGGAAGGAAGGAAGGAAGGAAGGAAGGAAGGAACCCCCGCCCCCAACCACCCCGCTGATTTGTAGAAGGTTGACAGTGATTAACGCACCCTTTGCTGAATCATCACTTCCTCGATCATCATCACCCTTTGTTGAATCATCACTTCTTCGAGCATCATGGGGGGGCTGCCGCCCCCCCAACCCCCCCCCGCTGATTTTCAGAATGTTTACAGAGATTACCGCGCCCTTTGCTGAATCATCACTTCTTCGATCATCACCACCCTTTGTTGAATCATCTCTTCTTCGGACATCAGGGGGGGCTGCCGCCCCCCCCAACCCCCCCGCTGATTTTCAGAATGTACACAAAGCTTAACGCACCCTTTGCTGAATCATCACTTCCTCGATCATCACTCTCTTTCTTTCTTTCTTTCTTTCTTTCTTTGTTTCTTTCTTTCTTTCTCGCTCTCTCCTTCTCTCTCTGTTTTCTCCCTTTTTCTTCATGTTTATATCTCTGTATATTTTTCTTCACTGCTTGCGAAAATGCTGCGCCTGCGTCAAACGCACCGCGCCTTGCGAAAGTGCTGCGCCTGCCACAAAATCTGTACCTGACCTTGCGGAAGTGCTGCGCCTGCCGCGAAATCTGTACCGCACCTTGCGAAAGTGCTGCGCCTGCCGCGATATCTGCACCTGACCTGCGAAAGCATTGCGCCTACCTTGCGAAAGTGCCGCGCCTGCCACGAAATCTGTGCCTGACCTTGCGAAAGTGCGCCACGAAATGAAGAAGTTTTTTTTAATCCATAAAAAGTTGTTTTTTGATCCTCTGATTTTTCATTTGTAATAGTAAATCAATGAGAATAAGTTTTTTGATGCCTAATAAGTTTTGTTTTGATCCCTCACCCCCTTTGCGAGGCTTGAACCTGGGGCCCGAAACGCTCCCGGGTGGTAATCGAGCCAGGCTTTCGCACACTACCTTGGCTTGGGAAGCCCACTCAAGAGATTGCATGTTCCCGGCCCCGGCAAGACATGCACAGAGGCCGTGCACGCGCTCGGAGTTTTTTGTTGCTTTGAGTTTGTAGCCGCGCGCCACGCCGATCATTCCTCCAGAAAGTGTTTGAGTGGTTTGGGACCGAAGAATGGGTGATGCAAAAGGGGTCAGCCTGCACCCCTCACTTTCCATGGCTGGTCGTTGGTATGACCCGACCTTTTGGAAGCAAGTTGTTTTTCCATTGAACCTCCAAAGGTTAGAACTTGTGCTCATGGGGCAGGTTCCCCAAATCAAAGTGGCTTAGGGGAAACCAAACAGTCTGGACCAATCCACTTAACATCTCCTTTTAAGAAACCACTTTTGGTAGATCCTCCTGTAATTTTGCAGAGTAAGTAGCTCCTTGTTAATTTGCAGGGGGGGTAAATGACTGCTGGCGATCTACGCTTGCCGCAATTGTGGCAATGTTCCGCTTTGGCCCATGCGAGCTCACTTTGAGCTCGAGACAGCTGTTCGATACGGCGAGGCCCGTTTCTTTTGCCTTTTCTTCAAAAGGCCCTTCAGGGCCTCCAAAGTAGTTGGCTTCTTTTTTTTAGTGATCAACGGACAGAGGGCCCCAAGCTTCTTGCTTTCTCATGGGTGCGCAAGAAGCATTCCGACATTTTGGACATGGTTCATTTGCGTGTCTGCCTTTTTTGAGGGAACCTGTTTGCATTGTCACAAGGGAATCCAATGCAATTCGCCCTTCTTGGGTTTCCTATTTAGAGACACCGTTTCGAGGGTGGGACACCTTTGTGACGCCCCTTCAACGTGTGAAGCTCAACTTCGGGTCCAAAGTTACACCGGACGGCGTGTGGTCATTCTTTCCGTCGAACCCGCCAGATCATGGTTGTTGTTGGGAAACATGTTACATTCTTGCTTATTGTGGTTTAGCGGGAAATCCCCACTTAACTGCTAAAGTTTAAGTTTTTGCTCCCCTTCCAACTTCAACCAAGAATTTCTTTACGTCGAACCCCGCCAAATGGTTGGTCTGATTCTGGTTTTCGTTTATTGTGCCCGGACGCCGCCCACTCTGGCGGCACACGTGCGACAGGCGCGCTACAGCGTTTTCATGCTGGAGGATGAGGCGGCTTGGTGCAGGCATGCAAAGTCTCACGGAAATCGAGGATCTCTTGTTACACTTGCTGTTCAATGGGTTCCCATTTTTCATTTCTTTGTTTTAACCCGTTTTTTCCTCCCCCCCCCGATGGCTGACAGCTACAGGGGCTCGATCTTGAAGTAGAGAGGGGCGAGCGTGCAACCGTTTTGGTTCGGAGCTGTTTCGCTGCTTGGAAGGAGGGGACCCATGAAGCATGGTGAGCGTGCCGTTGTTGCGCTCCTTGGGCCTTCCCAAGGAGTTTTGGCTGTGGGTCAAAACCCTGAACCCCTGGTGAACATCAAACTAGGTGGCAAATGGATGTTCATCCACCCCAAAATGGAGCCATAGGTTATGCCCCATGGTCATTTGGAGCACTGTGGAAAGCCAGACACCTATCAAAAGAGAGAGGTGAGACACGGTCGTCAAGCACTTTCTCCATTTTGACGCCCTGCACTCGACCCAATGTCAGGTCCATGCTCATTGCCAGACTTCGCTGACATGTTTGCCCAGCTTTCCTTCATGTCCGCCTTTGACCAACACGGGTCAACTTAGGCTGAAGCCTGGCCAAGGTTGATAAGACGCATCTTGGTTGCCCTTCCGTTTGCCTTAAAAAATGTTTGTGTGTTCCGCTGCAGGTTTTTTCAAGGCCATCTATCATGGTTCTAAAAAGGGTTCTAATTCTGTCCAATTGTGTAGTGGCCCCACGAACAATGAAAAAGGGCTCCAATTTTTTCTCCGGCAAAGGCAACTGGGAGTTGGTACCGAGATGTGGGGGGTGGTTTCAACGGGAATTTCATAGGAACCTGATGTGCATGCTTGCTCACATTCATGCAGATTTGCATCCCTATAAGGGAATAGCGAGTCTTGTCCAAATTATGCTGAGCGATTCCGCTCTTTATGGGTTTTCTTTCTTGGGGCAGTTTTTCAGCGGCGAACCGGGCCTTGGGCTTTTTCGAGGGGCCTCGCGGTGCGATTTTTTTGGGACGTGTTGGAAGCGTTGGGCGCAGGGCGGGCGGGACCTCTGAATATGGCCAGTTTTCTTGGTGGCTGCCAGCCATCCCCTTGGCTTCTTAGCTTCTTAGTAGTGTTTCGTGGGGACTTCCATTAAACCCACTAAAAGTTGAACTTTGCACGGGGAATGTTAGGACAGCCCGGTTTTTACCCAGAGAGCAGAACACCTTCTTGTCCCCGTTCCCGGGATTGATCCGCGCGCTATGGCGATCCGGGTGCGAGCAGGATATGCTGAACGTGGGGCTTTGGCGCGACCTTGCCACCAAGGCGGGCACTTTCTTGCAGCGTGTGCAAGCTGCAAGCTGTGTGGGTGTTGTTCTTCCTTTTTTGCCCCATTTTTGTTGTGCCAAATAGCCAGCAATGGTTGCTTCCCCACAATGTTGGCATGTTCCTTGGTTCATGAGTTGGGCTGCCAAACGCGCTGCGTGCACAGAGTTGGTTCCTCCAAGAAGGTACATGGAAGTACATGGATCAGCCATCTCTCTTGCTTGGGGCTATGCGGCACGGAGGGCGGCCACCCCCCCGGGTTCTGGCTCTTGTGGACGCTGCGCGATTCCTTTTGAACCTGTCGGGCACAAAAGGGGCATAGGGTACATATAAGGCGTACCTGAGACGTTGACGCCTGCGACTTTGAACCATGAAGTGTACTCCAGGGAGTCCCATTTTGTTCGTGCGGTTCTTTCCAACCCCGGCGGGAAGGGCTACATCTCACCTAAGTTAAAGCTGCGCGGCTGAAGGCCTGCAGGGCCAATGATCAACATGCAAATCAATCGGGAAGCTAAGGAGCCCCAAATTTCCACAAACGTCGACCCAGAACTGAGGGTATTTTTTGGCGCTTGGTTTAAAGAGAAGTTGAAAGGAAATTACTTTTTTGAATGGGGGTCCCCCAAAAGAAGACACACCCAATGGTTTCTTTGAGCGTTCCCTTCAACCTCTTGGGGTCCCCCAGCTGTTTGAGAGTGCCAAGCTTTAGGTTGCACCCTGGGCGTTGGGTGACCCTCAAAGCTTAGACATCCGTTGCACTTGCGTATCTTTGCGACCAAAAAGGTTCTACTCAAAGTCCAGGAGCGCAGTGGTGTAGCCAAATATACCCAACCCCCAGTCAAGGCTCCACCCAAACATACCCCCCCCAAAGAGAAAAAAGGAAAAAGAAAACCGGGAGAGCCCGCCCCCCTCCCCCCTCAAAACAAAGAAAGAGAAGAAACACATAAGAACATCAAACCAGGAGTCACCCCCCCCCCCCAAAATAAAAACAAAAATACAAATCAAGAGCAGAGAAAAACATAGAACACGAGTCCCCCCCCCCCCTCCAAAAAAAAAAGGAGAGAGAAAACACCAACAACCAACAGGAGTGGTGCAAGTTCGACCTGGAGTGGGCCCTCTTCAAGGAGCGCTGGGAGGTGGCCGAGAAGCCGATGAGCGACTCCAAGCCCGGAGGCCCAAGACCTCCACCCCATGGCCTGGGAAAAAGCGGCTGCTTGGGTCTGCTACTTGGGGGGGGGCGGGGCGGGGGGCTCCCCTCCCTTTTTCTTGTTGTGGTTTTAAAGGGGGTCCCCTTGGTTTTAAAGGGAGTCCCCTTTTTGGAGGTGGTGCATTTGTTGTTTGTGTGTGTGTGTGTTTTGTTTTATTCTTCTTGTTTTTTTCGTGGTTTCAAAGGGAGACTAAAAGGACACCCGACATTTTGGGGTTGCCTGAAAAAGAACGTTTGGCTGGATATTCAGATTTGAACTCTTTGGGACATTTTGTTATTTATTTTCTTCTCACTCAACGCTCGTCTTCCGGTGTCTCTACCACAGCCAAGCAAAATGCTTCTGTTAATTGCATAGGGGTTGGGCCGCGCAGAAGACACACCTGGGCCTGTTGGACCTCTATTTTCTGCCTTTTGGCGAAAGTCTCCAAGAGCAGGTGCGAAAAAGCAGGTCTCCACACTCCTGAGGAGCTTGCGGACTTTAAACTTTGTGTGGGTTTGGAGCACTGCAGTGTCAGAGAGGTCACTTTTTTGCCAACTGGGGTGTGATGGTTTCCACTTAGGGCGCGGTGGGCATGCTGGTTTTAGGCTGCCATTGTTTTTTTGTGATAGCTAGGTTGGGTTCAGAATCTTTGGGTCACACGCAGCCCCATTGGCCCGGGAGAACCGGCAAGGCCGCCTTGCGGGCAGTGGCTTCAATCCACTGAAACTCACGATCGTGGGGTTTCTTTGGGCAAAAAGGGGGTTGGCCAATACATAAAACTGGGTGAATTGTAACGACCTCACACGACCTCACCCCAAATTGTAGAGCCCCCTAACCACCTTATTTCAGGTTGGTGAAATATTAATAATTCACCCAGGGTTTTCACCTGTGGAACATCCGTTGGACTTGCAGCCGGCCGGCATTATTGAGGGTCCAGGTTCCAGAGGTCAGCTCAGCTGGGTCAGCATTCTTCAGGTTTCCGGCCGCTTCTTTTCGGCGGTCTGGCCATCTCTGCAGAACTTGGGGGCCAAGCATCAGCCCGCTGAACACGTGTCAGGTATTGTGTGCGGGAAATGGTGCAGCTGTGTCTTTGTCCATGTCTTTTTTCTTTTTTTTTAGGGGGGGGGGAAGGAGAAGCCTTTTTTGGCTGTAAAAACGGAGGCCAATGCTTTTTTGGGGCCCCAGAAAGAAGCTCAGGTGGTATCCGGATGGTGTACCCACAGTCTACCTCTCCATGCACAACACCAAGCAGTTTGCCGCGGGCCTAGCCTTCCGAGTGACGTCTGGAGGTGGTTCAGGTTGCTTCGAAATCGCACCTTCCAACCTTCGTTTTCTTTAGGAATCGCACCTTCCAACATGGCTTCCGTTTCTTTTTTGTTTGTTTCCCCGAAAAAAAAAAATACACAAAAAGGGTACCGAGACACAGCCAGATCTGGGAGGTGCGTCCTTTTTTTGATATTTCTGTTTGGTTGTTTAAGGGAAAGCCAAGAGGAACACGCACCACAATTTTGTTGGGCATGACAGAACAGACAGACCAAATGGTTTGGGTTCAGCGTCTACTTTTGGATCGATCCCCCATGACCCCCCCCAACCAAGAAGCTTTATGTCTATTTGGTGGGATCTTTTGGACTTTAGCTTTTTGGGACATGATGGATTTCCGTTGCACCCACAAAAGAAAGCCCTGCCGTTGCCCCGGGGACTATATCACTGTCAAGAGGGTTCCCTTGGCCAACAGGTGGCAACCTAAATGGGCTGAATGACAGCCAGCTGGGTCTCAAGGCTAAGTCAACTTTATCGACCACACGGATTCTGGCCAGGGCAATGTATCCTAAGACGACTGTTCAACATTTCTCCCATTGGTGGCAACCACTTTTGAAGGTCCCAAAAGGCGAACCGAGGCTCGATCTCCGGCTGCTTTTTCGGCAAGCAAGATATGGCCTCTGAGTTTTATCGGGGATCCTGCCGGATTTCCGCTGAGTTTCCAGGCGCGTGCGGGTAAGTCCCCCTTAAGACGTGGGAGCGCCGCGAAACCGAGCCATGTGGGATATGCCGCAAGAGATAACCAGGCTTGGGGGAGAGGTGTTTATTCCAGGAATTCGATGTCTGGTTCCATTTCGTGTTTTCCATCTTCCTGATTGAACAGGGCTCCCTATATTCCTTGGCTAGCATCCAGGAGGGCCCCCCCCCTTTGGTGGACACTTAGGGTCTATTTTGCAACCTCCTTCTTTTAGGGTATTGGTTTTTTAGGGTATTACAAAATAGACTCTAGGTGTCCGTGGCACGCCCCCCCCCCCCCCGCCGGTTTGAGCGCGATTTGGCTGAGGAGATCACCGATTGGCTGCTCTCGTGGTTTGCGCGGTGCCACCGGTTCACGGCCAAGTGTCACGACGCAGGCGCGAGAGGCGCCTCTAGGCGCAAGAGGCAAAGGTGCCTGAGGCGAACGATCGGTCACTGGCGGCTAAAAAAAAGGGGAAGCCCACGGTCCCTTCACAAGGCCTTAGAAAAGCCATTTTTTGCCACCCCCCTCCAGCCCCGAAGCCCCCAAGATCAAATTGTTCTGAATTGTCTCTGCCTAATTTTGTCTTGGGGACATGGGGAACGAGCTCGAGTTCCCCACAACCAGTGCACAAGCCTGGATTCCGCCGTACCCTCACGGGGGAACACGAGATTATTTGACCTTGGCTCATAGGCAACTTCTTCCTCTTGAAGGGAATTTCTGCCAGGTTCCAGGTTGCCTCCGTGAGGATATAGTATTGTTGGTGCAATTGGGAAAACATCTGGTGTACAACCTTAGGGCCTTAGGGTTCACAATCACAGGTACATGGCCAGCGGTTAAAAATGGAGGGCTTGGCTGGGCGCCAGGTAGCGGGGGGGGGTGTTCTCTACGGCGCCAGGCAAGGCGCCGTTGCCCAATTGCCGGGCAGCCTGAAAGCTGCCACAACTCCCCTACATTGTATGTGTGTGCTTTGCATGTTTGCGTGCTTGTGTGTGTGTGTGGGTGTGTTTTTGAGGTATCATATTGCAGATTTCTTTTGCTGGGGGGAAACCCAAAATGGTTCCCAGCCATCCGGTTCCTTAGCCCTTTTAGCGTTTTTGGTTGGTTTTGTGGTAGTTTCCCTTTATCCCACAGGTTAAACGTTTAGCAGGGGATCTGAAAACGGACAGCCCAGGATAAAAGCAGCTCTCCAACCCGACACCCATTTCGATTCGAGCGATTGGCACCCCTTGGGTTGTAAATGGTGGGTCCTGAAGATTGTTGGTCTGCGTTGGGCAAGCATGTGTACCACCGAGATACTTGGTCCTTGAGAAGTCCAAAGCCATACTCACAACCCGAAGGTCAAAACCACCGCTTTCGAATTCCGCCAGCACCCTTCGGGCACCACTTCAACCTTGACCTGTTCGGGGAAAATGGGGTGTTTCCAACCACTACTTCAGTAAGTGCTGCACTTTTGGCAGGGGATACCATGCTTTGAGCACCCCGAATGCACTTTATCACAACAATTCCCCTTGAAAATGAGCCTGATTTAAGTCCGGGTACTCACAGCAAAAGCAACGCCCTAAACCTCAACCACATGAAGCCAAGCCTAACCCAAGCCCAAGCCAGCCGTACACCGACGTCCCCCCGATTCGAGGCACCGCACGGATCCACCCACCGCGGCCACGGTTCGAAGTTCGAGCGTCCGAGGTCTCGAGGACTCGTCGTCGGAGCGGAAGCTGCGGCGCCGGCCCGGGGAGTACCTGGCGCAGATGCCGGGGAGCCCAGATGCGCAGATCTGCCCGTCAGTTTGACTAGGTCCCACCAGCGATTGGTGCGAACTTTTGCCGTTTCTTTTTTGGTTGGGAGGTTTTTTCCAACTAAAATAGACTACAGAAAAAAAGGGTATCCTTATTGTGACCTCTCTACTGGAGGACCAGTTTGAGTATTTGTCAAAATAGATCTCCCCATAGAGAACTATGTATGGCATGTGTTGAGCAATCATTTTAAGAATATAGACACTCATGTTGGGGGATTTGAGACGGCTTTCCACCTGATGGGTCTTAACTTTTGGCTTGAAGCAACTGTTCCCATGCCGGCTGAAGCTCCGAGGTACCGCATGCCCAAGACCGGGATCCGCGTTTCAGAGAAAAGCCAGTGGGAAAGGGAACTTGCAGGGGTTTCATGAATCAGGGCCAGTGTGGGGTCACCCTCCCTTTTGAACCTGGCGGGTCTTTTTATGCATAATCCTTGGCTTCCTTTGGATCCTATGGCCCACCCCTTTTGCTCCTCCCCGACATGGATGTTCCTCCAAGTTAGTGAGCGATTCGCCGCTTGGCTTTTGCACCAGGTGACCAGCCCACTGAAGGGGGCCACTCGGAAGTGGGTTATGTAACTTGGGGAATCGAAGACCCGAGTGATGATCACCCGACTGAAGCTCCAGGTGCTGCTGCTTGCAGCCCCGCCTCGAGAAGTGGATCTACTGGGGCTCGGAGTGGCCGCTCGCTTGAACCAAAAACCGCCAAGAGCTCCGGTTTGGGGGGGTTTGGGGGTTGGGGGTTGGGGGTTGGGAAGGGCAGGGGCAAACCCCCCAGGTGCTGGGGGAAACCGTTTTTGTTTCTCCTTTTTTCCCCATTTATTGTCTGGGTTCAAATCCCCACACCATTCCAAACCACCCGACCGTTTGCAATTTCCTTTTCCAGCAAGCTGATACCGTCTCTGGTTCCGTTTCCAGTTGCTGATGCACGGTGAGCTCCGGTCGCCTCGTTGGTTCAATTTGGCATCACTCAAGTTGGAACACCCCACATGCTGGCAGATTATTATTTTTTTGGGGGTGACCCCTCCCAAGACTGCAACTTATAAACACTCGAAAGCCGCAAAAAGCGCCGGAGCATTGGAAACCACCTCCCAAGCCACCAACCACGCGGGCGGAGCCTTCGAGGCCCTGTTTGGACCCATTTTCCTCCAGAAGGGTTCCTATTGAGTTTTTTATGGACGGAGGATAGCCCCGTTTTTTCAGGTCCCTTTAAAGGGGAAGCCAATAGGGCCGCCCACAAACTGGTGATTCCCAACAGCCTGCCTTGTATGGGCGGGGTGCTTGGCAAAAAGCAGTCAGGAACAGGTAGCCTTACAACCATGGCAAGTCGGTTACAACTTATTTGGCACATTGATTGTGCGAATGCAATTTGTCAACGGAGGGTTGTGGGGTCGTCTATAGACGTGGGGCCCCGTGGCTGCACTGCCAGGGTTATCTTGAGGATGTCAATTTAGGTGTGCCTTGTTCTTGAGGGTACCCTTTTTGGGGTGGGTTTAAAGACCAAGCAAGGTAAGCTCACTAATCTTTGGCGTCCCAATCCTGTGTTAAGACCTGGTTGGATCCAGTAGACAGACCAAGCCGCTGAACCCCAACTCCAAGGTTCGATGATGGCGCCGCGGTCCCAGGCGGCATTGACTTGGCTCGACTTGAAGCTGGCGTTGGAGCTTTGGCACCTGCCCTGTCCGTTAAATGTCCCAAACTGCTTCAACAGGATGTGGCTTTGTTTGAAAAGCGGCCTAGATGTGCTTAATGTCGATGCCGGATTCATCAACCTTACGGAGGAATACAGGGGCGTGTTCTGCCAAAAGTGCTCGAGTTCCTGTTAGATTAGTGGGTTCATTGTGAACTCTTCGCGTTGCTTGCCTCGGCCAGTGTGCTTTGTTGCTGAGATGGTTCTCAAGATATATGGCGGCCGCATGTTCGCGCGTTTCCATATGGCTTCAAGGGCTAGAACGAGAGCTGCAGTCTGAGAGCTAAAGAAGGGCAGTGGATGGGGGGCCGAGCGAAAGCCAGGGAGCCACCAGACCTTTCTAGGGGCAGTTTGCTTGAGTGTTAACCTCAGAAAGCCTGGTTTCTAGGGAAATTTCTAGGCTCAGGGCCTTGCTTCAGAGGGGCTGGACCAACAGGAAGTTTTCTGTTCACTGTGGCTACTATCCTTGTGGCTTCCCTTTCAAACACTCCCTATCCTCTATGCACTTGTCCTCTGGTTGCCATCCCTGGGAAGGAGCCTGGCAGGTACTCAAGCTGGGTAACATAGTCGGTAGAACCCACTTACAGGACTTGTAGCAGAGGTGAATATACGAGTTTGAGTATGAGCAAATCCCTAATACCCCCCGTCCAGATCCATTAGGGGCCACCCCCTTACAATCTCCATGATATCCCTTGACCTCATGGTTTCGGGTTGCAAGCCGCTTGAATTCCTGGCAGGCAAAATGCCGGGCATGGTGAAGAATCGGACGTGCACACTTCCTTAAGGCGAGAGGCTGGAGAGAGACAGAATGGCGAGCTCCTGATGCCCAGACTTGTGGTTGGGGGGGTCTGGAGGTTTCGGGTTGCAAGCTCCCAGCCATCCCTTTTTTCGCAGCGCCTGCTCTAAACACAACGGCAATTCTACTAACAGGCGGCCAAATTCCAGACGCCGAAGGGCGTCCGGGAAGTCATGGGCTGGGCCTTTGGAGGGAGCTCTTATTTCAGGCGTCGGTAGTATTGGGGTGCTTACCCAGGAGTCCTATATTCCCTCTTTTGGTCACCTTTTTGGGAGAGTGTCACTTGGTGGGGGTGTTGTTTTAAGGGGAAAGTATAGGGAGCCCTGTTAATTACCTGGTGGACAAGCAAGTCGGCATCCCCTCCAACATGTTTCCTCGGCCTTGGGTTTCCGCGGGTCAGAAGGCAAAGCCTAATTGTCAGTTTTTCAGAGGTGAAGGAGAGCACCCAACTAAAATGGGTGAGATGTTCCTTTTGTTTCCGAGCAAGAGCCGAACAAGGGATTCCCAAGAAGAACACGCCCACATGGAAAGGGCGGCCCCTTCTGTGGTGGGCGGACCTTTGTTTCCCGCCGTTCCCGGAGGCCAATTGGTGACTATCCCAAGGGAACGCAGCTAAGCCAATGCTCTCAGCCTTGGTCGTGCCCTCCTTTTTTTGAGGGGCTTCCCTGTCAAGTCAACCACAATTCTGAGGCGCCCCATTTGATATGAACATCCAGTGAAGGGCCATGTTCCAGGAGTCAAACAAATACGCCGAGCCCGCAGGGGTACAGCCGAGTTTTGCAGGATTTCGGTAGAAGGATGCATGCACAAATTACTTGGATTGCAAGGATTTGGATGCTCTAGATCGGCTGGCCTGGTGATTTGTTCAACCCCAAATGCATCCTTTGTGGCACCAAACGTTTTGGCACGTTTGAGGTGCCCGGAAATTGGGGGTAGCCCCTTATGGGCAATTCTTCTTGGAGCTCCCTTTAGAAATGCCCCACTGAATCGCTCCCTGCCATCGAAATGGGCTTGTGCACAGGAGTCTTCGGCAGCTACCCGTTCGTATTTTTTTCTGCAGATGTTCATTTAGGTTTTCCGCATTTGATTCGGCAAAAGCTGTGCATTGAACAATTCCCTCTCCATGCCTGCGGGTCCACGAGCATTCTCTGGTTTCTCTTTTGGTTTTCCTTGGGGTGTGGTTTCGGAGTCAAAGCCGAGCGGAAAAGTGTTGCCCTGCACATGCCCCCAATGGCTTGTTTTTCTGAATTAGAGTGCCCCGAAAAATGTGTGGTCAATTCTCTTTCAAACGAAGGAACTTTCTTGGGCTTCCCCCGCTTCCCCCAAAAAACCGACGCCCACTTCTGGCTTCCCTCCTCCCATGTCCAGGCCCGTGCTGTCGTTGACCTCGGGCTGCGGCCGGAAGTGCATGAGCTTGCCGTAGGTTTGGTCCATTCGCAGCTCTCGAATGTCGCAGCATCTCTGGTGTTTGCCTATCCCGGTTGAGTGGCCTCCTTTAGCTCCAAGGCTAAACATGAAATCAACCCCCAAGAAGGCGCAATTCCTCTTGAAAAGCGGAGCCAGCTCCTTTGAGCAAGCACAAAGCTTTCTCCAGATTCGACCTTTCAACCACAAGGGTTCTACCATGTGGAGAAACACTCCAAAGCATGGTGAGTTGGGCTCTTCTGAGCGTTTCAGGTTGCAGTCTCCACCAACAGAAGCTCAAGCACAGCGCGTTTGAAATACTGTGACTATGACTTCTGGTCTACGGTCGTTTGAAGGACATATCTGCTTGTGTTTGTTGAGGGTGCTCTTTTTCAGGTTGTTTTGAAGGGACACCAGACAGAACAGCATTTTGCCGGGTCCCCATATTTAACATGCACCGATTTGTTGATTGGTGCCCGGTGGTTTGTGTTTGGAGCAGAGGGAATGGCTCCCAGCTTGCGGCCGAGTGGAGTGCGATGCGCATCGCTTGATAATGCACCGGTCGGCTGCGTGCCTACCAAAAAGGGGGGCGAAGCGCCAAAAAGCGGGTTGCTGCGTGGCCGGATTTAGAGCTCACGGGCCTACCTATAGTTCCCTTGCGGATTTTGGGTCTATGTAAACTTGGTGGTTCCCATCCCCTTAGGTCTTTAGGTTGGTTTAGTAGTTTCGTCCAATCCGCAAGTTAAACTTTTGCCAGGGGATTTGAGGACAACCCATATAAAGGCAGCTTGCCTTGAGTGCGGCGATGTTGAAGGAGGACAGTATTGTGGGGCGTTGGTCAAGAAGCCTTCGGATGGCCCTTCCGAACCCCAAAGTTGATTTTTTCCGGGTGAATACCAAAGCTGGACAGATGGGGACATCTCGTTTACTTGCACGCTCCCAGTTGTTTTGTTGGCGGCTGCAGAAAGCCCCCAAGGGGCTCCAAGAGTCATATGGAGAGCTTCTCTCTTGAAGCCGCGGGGCCACGGCAATGTTCGTGTGGCTTGTCCCGAAAAGCCCGGAACCGAACCACTCGCGGAGACACCTTTTCTATTCTTGCAAATCGTGCGCGTGGTTCTTTCCAGGGGCTCTCGGAAAGAAAGAGAGAAAGAAAGACCGAATGGTCCATCCACTTCGGGTTGCCTCCCCCCTCCCCTCCCGAGAGCTCGGGGTCTTCAGGAGTGGAAGGCCAACGGCCTCAAGAGGCGAACCCTCCAATCACAGGTGGCAGCCACTTGGGCCGCTAAGAACCCAAAAGGTGTTCCCCCCAATGCGAAAAGTGCGCATGCGGCCTTTTTCAAAGAGGACACCCCTTTTTGGCTTGAACATTTTCTTTTCTTCCGAAGAAACCAGCTAGAGGACATTCTACAGTTGAAATCCGTTGTTTTGCATGTATAATTGCGGTAGGCTTTCCGATATCTGGTTTCTATGTTTTAGGAAATCCTTGGTTTTTTGTTGTAGAACCTCTAGAAATTCCAAGAATCATGGTTTCCAAGTCTTTTTTTTCCCCGGGCGGGCGAATGGTTTCGATCTCCTGCACCAGAGGCGCCGGGCGCTGCTGGAGGCCCTCGCTGGGCAGGCGGCGAGCTTGCCGAGGCGGTTCTCGACAAAGCGGCGAATTCGGGGGGGTCGTTGACAGGATATTTCGCCTGTCCACGTTTCCATGGAACCCCCAGAGGGTCCCTTGGATAGGAAAATTATTGGTCTTCCATGACTTCTCAGTTAGGAGCCATGATCCCATCATCCTGATGTTGACAGCATCACGGCGCCACTACACCCACACACCATAACGTGGGAACATCATGACGATACACCAGCCACGAACCGTTACACGCGAACAGCATCCACCAGCACCCCAAACATGCCCCCTAGCACCCGGTACAACCAAAGCAGCATCCACCCGCGCCTCAAACTGCATGCCCCTTAGCACCCGGCCGTCAAGCTCGCAAAGCAGCATGCGCCAGCACCCCAAACTGCATGCCCCCTAGAACCGGCCGTCAAGCTCGCAAAACAGCATCCACCAGCACCCCAAACTGCATGCCCCCTAGCACCCGGCCAGCTCGCAAAACAGCATCCACCAGCAGCCCAAACTGCATGCCCCCCAGCACCCGGCCGTCAAGCTCGCACAACAGCATCCACCAGCACCCCAAACTGCATGCCACTAGCACCCGGCCAGCTCGAAAAACAAAACAGCATCCACCAGCACCCCAAACTGCATGCCCCCAGCACCCAGCCGTCAAGCTCGCAAAACAGCATCCACCAGCACCCGAAACTGCATGCCCCCGAGCACCCGGCCGTCAAGCTCGCCGGCCAGCTCGCAAACCAGCAGCCCCCCACCCGGCCGTCAAGCTCGCAAAGCAGCATCTACCAGCACCCCAAACTGCATGCCCCGTAGCACCCGCAAAGCAGCACCCACCAGCACCCCCAACTGCATAGCACCCGGCCGTCAAGCTTGCAAAACAGCATCCACCAGCACCCCAAACTGCATTCCCCCTAGCACCCGGTCGTCAAGCTTGCAAAGCAGCACCTACCAGCACCCCAAACTGCATGCCCCCTTGCACCCGGCCGTCAAGCTCGCAAAGCAGCACCCACCAGCACCCCAAACTGCATGCCCCCTAGCACCCGGGCGTCAAGCTCGCAAAGCAGCATCCACCAGCACCCCAAACTGCATGCCCCCCATGCCCCCAGCACCCGGCCGTCAAGCTCGCAAAGCAGCATCCACCAGCACCCCACAGTGCATGCCCCCTAGCACCCGGCCGTCAAGCTCGCAAAGCAGCACCCACCAGCACCCCAAACTGCATGCCCCCCAGCACCCGGCCGTCAAGCTCGCAAAGCAGCACCCACCAGCACCCCAAACCGCATGCCCCCTAGCACCCGGCCGTCAAGCTCGCAAAACAGCATCCACCAGCACCCCAAACTGCATGCCCCCTAGCACCCGGCCAGCTCGCAAAACAGCATCCACCAGCACCCCAAACTGCATGCACCCCAGCACCCGGCCGTCAAGCTCGCAAAGCAGCATCCACCAGCACCTCAAACTGCATGCCCCCCAGCACCCGGCCGTCAAGCTCGCAAAGCAGCACCCACCAGCACCTCAAACTGCATGCCCCCTAGCACCCGGCCCTCAATCTCGCAAAGCAGCATCCACCAGCACCTCAAACTGCATGCCCCCTAGCACCCGGCCGTCAAGCTCGCAAAGCAGCATCCACCAGCACCTCAAACTGCATGCCCCCTAGCACCCGGCCCTCAATCTCGCAAATCACTTTCCCCTCTTTATTAGAAGTTAGAACCCCTATAGCTTTCAGCTATCTGGGGAATAATAAACATGTTGTCTCGCGGGGGACCAGCTTATTATTAGGGAGGGCCGTCTCATTATTTGGGGGGCAGGGTTAGTGGATAGGGTAAGCTTAGCTGACATCCGCATGCTCGAGCAGGATCTGCATTTATTGGTTGGATCTTTAGCCTTCATTGAAAGCGTGTGTTGTCCCACGCATCAACCAAAAGTTGAAACATGGGTTTTCCCTCAAAGGTATTGCATGCTGTTTAGGCCAAATACAAAACATAATCAAATCAAGTTTTGATTCCCTCAGAGCCAGCACGGCATGTGCGGCTGCAGTGCTTGAAGCGAGCTGACAGCCATGGTACATAGTTTTGCCGGACCTCGCGACTCGCGTTTATGCTTCTTCTGCTTGGGCTTTTGCGCCAGGTCACAAGTTGACCTCCAGAAACCTTTGGGGGTTTTGCTTCAAACCTTGGGAGAGGGCTCCCAAACAAGTCAACTACCAAAGGTATTGCGTTTTCTTCCCGGCCACTGGATTTAGGAAGCCCTTCTTACGCACCGGGCCTCCGGAAATAAAAAGGATCAAACTCAGGGTGTGTTTGGGGTTGGTTTAGTTGTAGGATGGGTTGAATCAGGTGGGTTCAGGCTTGGTTTAGGGCTGGTTCGGGGTTGATCATCTAAGGCTCATCAGCTCTTGGAAGCTTCCAGCTCCCGAGGTGTTCGCCGCTGGAGCTGGCGGCCACCCTGTGGCCCTTCGCCACCTCGAAGCTTCACCCGGCGCCTCCGGACCCGGCACGGGCCTCGGGACGGGGGCCGACGGAGGCCGACAGAGGCCGGTGGTGCCGGTGGTGGATGTGTGGTGGATGTGTGGTGGATGTGTGGTGGATGTGTGGTGGATGTGTGGTGCGTGGTAGTTGTAACAGGAATACTGAGATGGTAGCAGCAATGGTAACAGAAGCAAAGTGATCATAATGGTGGTGGTGGCGTGGTGGTGGGTTGGATTTGCGGGGAGGGGTTGAGGGTAAGATTCGATGCCAAAGCAGCCATATTCCAGTTTAGTTTCCGTTGTTTGGACTCACTGTTGACAGTTGTTTTTCCTCTCCGATCAGACTGCACAGGTCAAACTTAGTCAGCTGAGTGTTATGTAGACGTACTTTCCACGGAACCCAGAAGGAGTCCCCCAAAAGAAGATTCCTTTAGTTTTGGGTCTTTGGGGAAACCCATGTAGGTGTCCATATGGGCGCTTGCTCCAAATCCAAAACTACTAGCCTGGCGACCCTGGGAAGATGACTTAGGTTCTGGAGGGTTTGAACTGTCCTGGCAGGAATGGACCCATTCGGCTTTGGTGCTGCACCAAGGTTAAGCTTGATCCCCCCCGAAAGCAATGGGCTGGACAACTTGACCGTTCCAAACCCCTCAGTGAAGACCCCAGCAGCGGAGATGACCCAGTCCTAGTGAGTGCAGGTGTTGCATCAGACATGAAGAAGATTAGGATTGGTGTGACGAGAGGCTTTGATTGTTTGTCATCCCTATCCTCCAGGTAGCGCGGAAACCTGTCCTCTCTCTCTGTGGAGCTCTCGCTTGAAAAATCAACAACCAAACCTCGGCCGGCGCTTTTGTCGATCATGGAAATCCACTGGAGGTCTTGGCTGTGAATCTTCTGAGGCTTGGTTCGGACACTCATTCCACCAGTGTAGTGTTTTGGTGGTTCACCCCCCCCCCACTTTGAACTCCGCTTTGCAAGGCCGTTTCATTTGGCCCGATATCAAGTCTCGATGAAGAAG